TGCATCTTAAAACTGTTTCTGCAGGTAAAGATGTGAATAGTCGCAACGATCTTAAAGAAAAGATGAGGGAAACATTCAAAGTTGAACTTCCCTCGGATTTTTTCGATTTTTGGGATTTTTGCAAAAATCTGAAAGGTGGAAATCCATGTGGTAAGTCCGCTTTCAGTGTTAACACGTCTTGCATCTATCTGACTAAGAACTTCAATTAAAGCTTAAGTATTAAAGTCGATAGTTAAGTAATAAAATTAACTTAGATTAGCAAGCCTGCCCTGATGTATGCTTGGTTGTATCTTGAAAGCCTTATTCATTAAATAAATGTAATTTTTTAAAGCTGCAAACAAAAGCTGTTCATAGCTGGAACCTTACTAATTTTTCGCATGTTTCTCATCGTATACTTCTTAGTGTAGTAAAAGTTAAAGAATTCTTGACACTTTGTACAATGAATCGTGACTTGTTAATCTTGAGTGAGCAATAGATCAATTAGTAGCTTGATAGGAACCGGAAATATGATCCCTATTGTGTAAGCAAGCGTGCAAAAATGTGCATCGTGTAAAGTAGACAGTTAGATGTGCCTTCCGATTGGAATAGCGTAAAAGCTACAAGCTACACCCTTTAGACTGATAGGATTTTGTGTAGGATGGAATGATTGCTCAAACCTAGCTGCTCAGGATTTACGTAAGTAATGTAGGTGTAATAGTGTTATAAGCTTTCAATCGAATTAGGGTGTTTACTAGAAAGGAAACCACATGCATTCCCTACTATATTTTCCCACGTATGATTTAGCTACCAATATGTATAAAAGTACCTTGATTTAGTAATAAAGGATGAATGTGAATGTGATCAGGACTTGAGTGTGTGCAAGTCTCTTAGAATATTGATAGCCCGAAACCGGCCAGGTCTAGAGATACTCAAGCAGTCGACACTTATCTGTTGGCCATGAAATCAACTCCCGTTTACAACATTAGCATCAGATAGATTGGTTCTTTTTTTCAAGGCCCTATTCATGGCGAGACCTTAATCATGATAAGACTAGGCAGCTTGTGGTACAACTGTATCTATTGGACAAACTTTGAGACACTGTCTGTCTATAAAAATTCTGCTATGCCACACCTGGTCATTATTCAGCTAGCTTGCACAAAAGCAAACAGTTACAGTAATTTTGTTACCCGCCCTCCCTCCCTTTGGAGGAGTTGTGTTGTGTTATGTATTAATAAACGTTTGGTGGGTCACTCCTTGTGGTGCGGTTAAGTCTACGTTGTGACTTCCCCCAAGCTTTAGGCATTGCTTGTGTCTTGCCATCTTATTCCTTTGCCTTAATCTTGTCTGATCCAGCCCGTGCAGTGCTAGGGAGATAAGAAAGGCTCTGCCAACACTCTTGTGCTATCCCACGGTAGTGGGGTGATAAGTGAGTGAGGCTTGTGTTATTTTGTGCGCATAACCTGAAGTTTCTATAACCTGCACAGTACTGTGTCCCCCACCCCCACCCCCACCCCCCTTATTAAGCCATCTTGTGGTTGTTGTTTCATTTAGCCTGTGTATGTTATTTAGTTTCGTGACTTTTTCATGTGTATCTTAAGCAGAATAGTGACATTAATTAAACCAAAGTCAAACCCTGCTTTATTATGGACACCTGCTTAATATGGACACCTCGTTATTACAGACAGTTTGCTTTATCCCTTGGGAAAGAAAGCTCTTTCATTTTCTCTAAATTCAACCTCCTTAATGCAGACACCCCGTTGATATGCACACTTTGTATGGCTCCAATAATGGGGTTGACTGTTATTTATATTCTGTTTCGTCATTTGTAGATGCTTTGAAAGAATCTCTTGGGTTACAGCTGGTTGGACCATATGATGTTTTGTCAGGATCCTTTGATGATGTGAAAGAGTCAGATATCATATCATATCACCTTCATTATAGATATTACTAAGGGTTTACTATTGCTATATGGCTGGTTTAATAGTCAACATTTTTCTGGTGCTAGTTTTAATAAAGTGGTGAAAATGATGAAATCATTGTTGTGTAGTTATGAAAATAGATAATGACGACCTTTACTTGGGCTGTACGTTTGAAACGGGGGCTTGTAGACAGAATGTAATGGACGTCTGAACATTAGATTTTTCACTCGTTGCACTCAACACTCCTTATTCCTCACATAAAATGCAAATGCATATAAAATAAACCCCTCTTACATTTGGAAAGACCTCGATAAAAGCTAGCCCTCTTGAATTTTAATGCAGGGTAAGTGAACTTAATACTTGGGAACAATTCTTGCAAGAACCACTTGGACAAACCAGCAGTGAAGTGAAACGGGATCGTGGTATCGATCAGGATCAGCAATAGAATAGAGCTAAAAATTAAAGACAATGCTGAGCGGACTGCTTTGGATGGGTAATTTATTTGCCCCTTGCTTTTAATATACATCCTTATAGCCTGGCCACTGATCCTGCAAATATTTTTAGCTCAAGGCTTCATGCTGTTTTTTTCGAGAGGATATCTCTCTCAGCTACAGATATCATTCAATTTTATTCAGAACATCACAGGAAAGCAGGGGCATAGCTAGGGGGGTCCTTGGGTGCCCGTGACCCCCCCTTGGTAGGCCTTCTTTTGAGCAAACAACCTACAATATTCAGGTGGCAAAAACGCCATGACAATATCTTGGCCGTAAAAGCCATTGTTGAAAAGCCCAATTTTTTTTAATTTTTTTTTTTTTAAAGGTTTTTCCGCCACGGGCCTTTTTTTTTGGTAAAATGGGGGGGGGGGGGGGGGGGGGGCGACAAGACAATCTTGGGAGTAGCCCCTGTGGCCCCCCCCCCCCCACCCCCTTGAAAAATCCTGGCTACGCCCCTGGGAAAGGTATATATTGGACACTAAAGCACAAGGCCAGTCGAGGTCGGCACGACCAATCCTGGAAAGTACCACCGTGAGGCGCAAGCGGACTGGGAACCAAAACTTTCCCGCCAAATACGCGCCAAGTGCATTGTTGATCAATTTACAAAATGGCGGACGAAATCCAGTCACCAGCGAAGAAGCGCAGGAAGACAGAAAAAACAGGGTCCGATGTTGATGATAAGCTTGAATCAAAGCAGCAGTCTGCAAAGAAATCGGGTGAGATTGAGAAATTAAACTCACTATACTCGATTTTTTGGCCAAGTTCACAGTAGTTTAGGCTATAAAAGGTGCATCTTAAAACTGTTTCTGCAGGTAAAGATGTGAATAGTCGCAACGATCTTAAAGAAAAGATGAGGGAAACATTCAAAGTTGAACTTCCCTCGGATTTTTTCGATTTTTGGGATTTTTGCAAAAATCTGAAAGGTGGAAATCCATGTGGTAAGTCCGCTTTCAGTGTTAACACGTCTTGCATCTATCTGACTAAGAACTTCAATTAAAGCTTAAGTATTAAAGTCGATAGTTAAGTAATAAAATTAACTTAGATTAGCAAGCCTGCCCTGATGTATGCTTGGTTGTATCTTGAAAGCCTTATTCATTAAATAAATGTAATTTTTTAAAGCTGCAAACAAAAGCTGTTCATAGCTGGAACCTTACTAATTTTTCGCATGTTTCTCATCGTATACTTCTTAGTGTAGTAAAAGTTAAAGAATTCTTGACACTTTGTACAATGAATCGTGACTTGTTAATCTTGAGTGAGCAATAGATCAATTAGTAGCTTGATAGGAACCGGAAATATGATCCCTATTGTGTAAGCAAGCGTGCAAAAATGTGCATCGTGTAAAGTAGACAGTTAGATGTGCCTTCCGATTGGAATAGCGTAAAAGCTACAAGCTACACCCTTTAGACTGATAGGATTTTGTGTAGGATGGAATGATTGCTCAAACCTAGCTGCTCAGGATTTACGTAAGTAATGTAGGTGTAATAGTGTTATAAGCTTTCAATCGAATTAGGGTGTTTACTAGAAAGGAAACCACATGCATTCCCTACTATATTTTCCCACGTATGATTTAGCTACCAATATGTATAAAAGTACCTTGATTTAGTAATAAAGGATGAATGTGAATGTGATCAGGACTTGAGTGTGTGCAAGTCTCTTAGAATATTGATAGCCCGAAACCGGCCAGGTCTAGAGATACTCAAGCAGTCGACACTTATCTGTTGGCCATGAAATCAACTCCCGTTTACAACATTAGCATCAGATAGATTGGTTCTTTTTTTCAAGGCCCTATTCATGGCGAGACCTTAATCATGATAAGACTAGGCAGCTTGTGGTACAACTGTATCTATTGGACAAACTTTGAGACACTGTCTGTCTATAAAAATTCTGCTATGCCACACCTGGTCATTATTCAGCTAGCTTGCACAAAAGCAAACAGTTACAGTAATTTTGTTACCCGCCCTCCCTCCCTTTGGAGGAGTTGTGTTGTGTTATGTATTAATAAACGTTTGGTGGGTCACTCCTTGTGGTGCGGTTAAGTCTACGTTGTGACTTCCCCCAAGCTTTAGGCATTGCTTGTGTCTTGCCATCTTATTCCTTTGCCTTAATCTTGTCTGATCCAGCCCGTGCAGTGCTAGGGAGATAAGAAAGGCTCTGCCAACACTCTTGTGCTATCCCACGGTAGTGGGGTGATAAGTGAGTGAGGCTTGTGTTATTTTGTGCGCATAACCTGAAGTTTCTATAACCTGCACAGTACTGTGTCCCCCACCCCCACCCCCACCCCCCTTATTAAGCCATCTTGTGGTTGTTGTTTCATTTAGCCTGTGTATGTTATTTAGTTTCGTGACTTTTTCATGTGTATCTTAAGCAGAATAGTGACATTAATTAAACCAAAGTCAAACCCTGCTTTATTATGGACACCTGCTTAATATGGACACCTCGTTATTACAGACAGTTTGCTTTATCCCTTGGGAAAGAAAGCTCTTTCATTTTCTCTAAATTCAACCTCCTTAATGCAGACACCCCGTTGATATGCACACTTTGTATGGCTCCAATAATGGGGTTGACTGTTATTTATATTCTGTTTCGTCATTTGTAGATGCTTTGAAAGAATCTCTTGGGTTACAGCTGGTTGGACCATATGATGTTTTGTCAGGATCCTTTGATGATGTGAAAGAGTCAGATATCATATCATATCACCTTCATTATAGATATTACTATGATCCTCCAGAATTTTTGACTGTTATAAGAGGTGATGACAAGACAGGGTTTCATGTGGGATACTATAGGTAAAACTAGCTAATAGACAACACGTTTCTTCTGCCTGTCTTTATGTTCCCAGTATTTAAAACACTTCACCTGATTTAAACTGAGTGGTAACTCAATGTAAGTTTTTGTTTTTTTAGAGATGATCCAAAAGTTCTTCCAGTGTTCGTAGCATCTAACCAGGCTGAGAAGGGTTGTGAATTTTCTGTCCTTGGTGAAAACCTCTTTGCAGCAATCAAGTAAGCATTACTTTATAAATTTAGTTCTCTTTGTGATGATTATAGGTGACTTGCTTCAGTCACGACCCTGCTTGTTTCAACTCCCAATAATATTTTATCTATTTTTAAAGTTTCTTCAGGAATGTATCATTCAAGTAGAGGCTACATTCCTTTTACGTATTAGCATGTGGAATGTAAATGAGGATTTCAACTGCTTGAAACACAAATTGCTTCAGGAAACTAATCTTGAAAGAGGTTTACATATATGTTATACAGAACTGTAGATTTACTTTTTGCATGCATAGTAATGCTTCAATTCCTATCCCCAATCTTACTGACTTACAATAATTAGTATTGTCTGGTTGTCTTAGCAAATTTATTGCTGACTTTATGAAGACCTCAAGTGGTAAATCCAAGCAAAAATCATTGAAGACACTTCAAACATCACTTGTTTCTGAAGCAAAGAAACTGAAATACAATCTTGAGACAAGCACGTCAGCCATCAAAGCTAGAAACAAGAAGGTTGTGTGTAAGACTTTTCACAAAGCTGGAATTGTTGTCCCAGTCATAAATGAAGTTGGGTACCGGCCTCTTACCATGACTGACGGTGAGTTAGAGGTTGTGATATTCTCACTGACATGTAGAAATTTAACATCTTCATACTTTTGACGATTTTTATATTGCTTTAATTTTGCACTCAGGTGCATATCCACATACATATTCTCCTGACTGATCTCTATACTTTTCCTTTAAGAATTAGTTGAGAGAACTGGATAAAAGATTAAAGCATTTCTCTTGGGTGTTTACTCACCTTGTGAGCAGAGCTTCCTTTTGTCTTCTTTAGTGAGGAGACAAAAAGGAGGCCCTACCTGAATGACGTCAAACCTTTAAAGTCGCGGCAACTAAATTTCTGAACTAGTCAATTTTGTTCCCTCTTGTCAAACCAGGGTGCAAATAAAGAAAGACAGTTTTACAGCCTGCCATTCGGGCAAGCTGTAGCTAGCATGTACTAGCCCACAAGTCATTTCAAGTAGCCCCAAAACCCTTTTTGATTAGCAGGATTGATTACAATCCTTCTGTAATTAAAGTTCCCCCCAAAACAGCACTTGCCCGTCGGGCAAGTTAAGAACAAAATTCACTAGCCGGATAGCAAAATCCACTAGCCCTGGGCTATCGGAGAGGACTTTCTTTGCGCGCTGCAAACTGTTTTTTTTTTTAGTGCGGGCATTTGTTTATTGATAAACCGATTGTCACAAGCAAGTCTGCTGTACCAAGTGCACAGCTATTAGCCCTGGGTTCGAAACTGTATCCTAGCAACATGCCGTGCATGCTCAACAAAGATCTTACTTGATTCATGCAGAGCCTTTCTTGAATACACTAAAATCAAGCAGTCAAAAGAAAGGCTCTGCTCTGCTGGCAGGGTGGTTTCACTTTATTAATTCTTTAGGTCCCAAGAGTGACCAGCATTAATTTTTTCCTAACAACATCAGCAGATCATCAAGAGTAAAGGTTATGAGAATTACTTAATTGATTACCAAAGGGAGAATGCTTTGATCTTAAGCCAAATTCTCTCAACTATTCTTAAAAGAAATGTATGGAGATAAGCCTGGAGAATTTGAATGTGGATCATGGGCCTTAAAGGGTTAATTCTTGTAACTTGTTACCAGAAAACTGTTGTTTAGATGTAAAGATAGGAATATTAAGGATAGGACAAAATATCATTCACTGTTGAATCCTGTATTTGATTGTTTCTTAAATTCATTGAACTATAGGTGAACTGAAGAAAATCCTGAAGCAAATAACAGAAGGTAAGAATGAGAAAGATCAAGAAAAAGCATCTGAGGATCTCCAGGAAATAATGACCCTAGTTCAGTTTGCTAATGACGAGTGTGATTATGGAATGGGACTTGAGTTAGGATTGGATCTGTTCTGTTTTGGAAGCGAGCGTTTTCATAATGCCACTCTTCAACTTATGCCACTTGCCTACAGGCTTCTTAGCAGGGACACATTTGCAGAGATTGTAGAAGTTCACATAAATAACCGAACTAGGGCTTCGCTGAGCCAGCTCCCATCTTAATATGACAAAAGTTAACATAGTGTAGTCAGACGTCTTATCGAAGTGCTCTTACGAAAGACTTTGACAGGAAGGCCAGTTGACAACAATATTTATCTTAAAACCGAATGCACATCTTCTGTGGGTAGATATTAGTCTTTTTATGTCAGGTAACAAGCTGGTTTCAGTTTTGCTCACTTTTGTTGGCTGTATAGAATTGGCAAGTATTTTGTACAACTTGTCACTGATTTAGGCAAGTTTTGAGACTCAAGTAGAAAAAGTAGTGAAGACTTACTGGAAATGAGTTTCCTTCTAATGCGCATGCTTCCAAGCGTGGCCAGAAAAATATCTTACGAGCTGCTGTAATAGCTGTACCCCTCAAAAGGAATGAAGGGTTGTTGACGCACTTGAGTTCGAGAGTGGTGGTTATTTAATTGGTTGTCGAGCACTTTTTGACTGTTTTGTTATCATTTTTGGTTACCTAAGCGTAAAATATTGTGTTCTTAAAATTGTTGTAGGAAGTTGCGTGTCAAAAAAATTCACCACGAGCTGTGGCGCTCGGGGCGCTCATTGGAGTAAATATCGCATCTTTTTGTTAGTATTTACCCGGTGCGGTAATCATAGAACTGTAGCGGAATAATGTGCTTAACGTTTCCAGCCGCCTAAACCCCCTTTCCTTTGAAACTATTTCCACTGGACTAATCCAAGACTGTTTGAGACTTGTCACCTATGCTTCTTTTCATTTCTGGTGTAAATACAGGCTTACAGCAAACTTCTTTTTTCCTCTTTGCTGGACTTTCACGAGACCATGATCCTATAGCAACATTTTTTGCCTAAAACCTGTGAAGTTGCAGTGGATGAAGGAAGAAGATTACCCGGTTGCTTACGTATATCTTGGACCCATTCACGTCTCACCTGTGCAAGCGTTGAAGGTTTCTTCGTACCTCCCAAGTTTTACATCAAACTCATCCGTCATCGAATAATGTGATGACTTGACCTCTGGTACGGCGTTTCGGGTCAATCCCTCAAATTTTACGAGCCTACTAAGCCGCTCATACCAGACTCTCAACACTTAGAGCTCTTTCAGGCGTTTGAGAAATTGAGCTAGTTCGTGGTCTTTTTCCACACGCAGCTTTAACGTGAGGGACAGTGTATTTACACTGCTTAAATGTTAACGAGAGCGCATATACGATGAACAATTATTAATAAATTGCCGTTACTCAACTGCAACAGTGTAGAGAGTACAAACTGTTGCCTCGTGATTCTCCCTTGGGGCTTTTTCCTTTAGCACTTGCATAAGAACCGTGGAAAATCATATTAAACTTGCCATCTTAACAGCCTAGTGACAATCAGAAGGTCCCTGCCATAATTTTTTTTAAAGGTGAAGCGGATGACATAGGTAAGCAGACACCAAGCCTGCACCCTCGCCGCCACCCGCCCCGCCCCGCCTTCATCCCCTCTTTGCAGTTTTAACCACTGGTACATGCAAAGACCATCGGGGTGTAAACTTACGTCAAATTGGACTACTTTGTTAACTCCTTTCGCCTATGAGTCGTTTCGCTAACCTCCCGTTTACTTAGGTAACGTCTTATGTCTTTTTGCTTAAGAAGCGAAGCGAGCGCTGCGCATGTATATACCTCGTTCTCTCAGCTATGACACGAAAAAGTGCGATACACGCGTATATACCTTGTTCTTTCACCCAACACGTAAGCGAAACGACGTAAGACGTTAGCGAACAGGACTGCGAAACGACCGTAAACCATCTTAACATGCATGTCTGTCTCTTCAAAAGGTGAAAGAGTTGACGTAATCCAAATGGACGGATATTTCAGTCGCTTTGTAATTAATAGTTATGAATTCATTCATCATCGTATACGGTATGCGACACAAACCTTCGAGTGGCGTCTCTCAGACTGGCCCTGTCCGAGTGTTTGTTGAGATAAAATTGTGACAATGAGAATTTTCAGATCGATGATAACCTCTTTAAAAAAAAAAGCTTTGCAACTGAGCAAAGTATTTCGCAACCACTTTGTATAGACGATAGTCGTTCAATTTCCGACTAGCAACAGAAAACACTAATCCATCTGTGTTACTCAGGGATCAGCTGTATCATCTTGATAACGGGTTATTAAACTTACTGGATTATATCCTTCTTAATGAACAACCGAGAAAGATCCATTATTTAAACGGCCGACCTTCCAGTTTCTTCGGACACAGGTGCAGTTTCAAAATTGTAAGACAACTTCCTAAAAGGAATCTTCATCCTGTCAGATGAGGTGTGGGGCGAGGTGGAGAGAAGGTTAAAAAGCAAAATCAGATTGTTTGACCCTTAAGAGTGATTGAAGAGTGTTGCAAATTGGTTCTAACTTTTGAGTCCGTAGAAGAAACTCTTTGACCATTTAAATGAAACCTCTTCTGAGCAGTACCTTTCTCATGGTACTATTTGTTAAATATGTAGTTCTAACTTCTGAGTCTGTGGATGAATTCCTATGATGTTACCAATCAAATGAAACTTCTTCAGCAGTACTTTCTCATGGTACTATTTGTTTAGTATGTAGTTCTAACTTTGGAGTCCGTGAACGAAACCTTTTGATATTACTACTTAAATTAAACCTCTTTGGCTGCACTTTCACATGGTACCATTCGTTTTTCAGCATTTTAAAAAATGAAATTTGAATTTTTTTTTGTCCAATTTTGACTTCGGCTGCTGCACTTGAGGGTGAAAGGGTTAAGTGCATCCTTTTTCACCTGTCCACGGTAGGTCTAGTCTCTGCTTCTTTATTATACTGGGACTTGTTCACTCATCGCTATACGAGTGTTTTTGTTTGTTGTTTTTTTCAAGTCTCCTGGGTTATTTCGATGTAGTTAAAATTAAATTTCGACGATGGTGGACAGACAGCCTCCAGTGGCTCAGTGGCTACAGCACAGGAACTAGAACTCGGAGGGTCGTGAATTTGATTCTAACCTGGGGCTCGGTGTTTTTCTGAGCTTTCTTTTGTAGAATTCTCCTTTTTTCCAAATTTTATTTTTATGAAACTGGGTAAGTGAACGCGGAGTTCTCTACGTCTTTTTCAGCGGGATTTAGGGTTCCGATAGCGCAACTGAGTAAGAAAAAACGAGGAAATAAACCAAGGAAGGGAAAACAAAATTGCGTCCTTGAACGCTTCTAAAAGGTCATATATTTGGCTTGAAAGGCTGTCTAGAGCGAAAAACGAAACTCATGTCAGTCAAACGCATAAAAACTCTTTAAACTTCGCGCCAAACCCCTTGTACAAGTTAAAATAAATGCTAAAAGATACACAAAATTCGTTACCACACATTCCTTGTTTTTAATGTTTTTTTTTTGAAAACAAGTGATATAAAAAGGATTAAGAAATAATATCACAGCCATCTGTAGGTGTACCTAAAATTGATGTCATCCTCCCTCCGCTGATTTCAGGTTTCTGTTGAAAAAAGGTAAGAAGTTCTTCCTCTGTTGAATGACGTCCAAACGAAGGCCTCGAATTCCGGAAGAAGGTCGGGCGGAAGTCGTTTGTTAACTAATGTTTTTTACATTATTCTTTTTTAATTGTATTTTCATTAACGTCAGGCAAAAATAGAACAGTTATAGTTTAGGTTTTAGCAGTAAAGTGAAATCGGCAAGTCTCAACATTGGTTATGGTAACCTTGGTTTCTTTTTCTGCTTACTTTCGATCAAGTGTTCTTTTTTGGGGGGAAACGCGAACGTCCCATCCCAAAGAAAAAGGGCAGAAGGACCTGCTGATTGCAGCAGGTCATTCCTTTTCAAACAGTTGTATAAAAAATAACAATTTACTGCTGCTAATACTTAAAGACTTTCACACTTAATTAATGCAGACAGTATAAGTTTATTCAGCTTTGTTTTCTTTAACTCTCGAGCTGTTACCTCAGTTTGTTACTAATGAATAAAAAATGTCAAATAACACGTGGAAAAAAAGTAAGAGCTCTCCTTTCTGAAGGTCTGCCGCCACTGGGTGCTGAAAAGTAAGTCTAGAGTCAAATTTTCGGTCATCTGGTCATTGTTCAACAATTAATTTCAATCTCATTCATTTTCAGTCTATTAATTAAGGTATCATGCAGTTAATTTTGGCAGGCTTCAGATAGCAGCCGCAACAGTTAAAAAACGCCACATCACTCTGCCGACAGTTAAAATTTCATTTAATTTTTCATCTGTTAATTAAACCACACCCATACCGTCTATTTTAAGTTGTCTCTTGATGAAACAGAGAGTTTCATTTTTAAAAAGGAATACTGGAAAATTGGGGTAAATAAAACCTATATCGCGCGATAATATTACATATATATCAGTATACCGGTAAAATATGTTGATTGTAGCCAAAAACTTATGAGTTACTGTTTTAGCTTAATGCGTGCAGTGTTTAATACTGCATAAAGTTCAAGTTATGTTGATATTAAAAACAGCGTGTTCATTCTTCATTTTTATAATAGAAAGACACTAAATTATTGTTTTCTCGCCTTCTAAATTAGATTTGAGTTTCTAAGCTTGTTGACAAAGTATGTAAAACGAAAGAGACATGTATAATAAAGGAAATGTAAATATTAATTTCCAAACTCGAGCAATAATATAAGTTGCTAACTCCGTTAAACTTTTAGACAATGTCACGATCCAGTTTGTTTATTCCACTGACCACATTTGATCAAGTGTCGCCTCTTTCAATTAATCAGTTTGCGTCAGTCAGTCCTGACTTACTTTGTTGCTGCAGTGTTATTTGACGTTTTAAGATGCTCTACTTTTTCGTTAAGGCAATCTTTAAGGTTAAATAAATTCGTGAGAACGTTGGAGAAAAGCCATTCGTGAACTCGTATTAGTGAAACGAGGTTGTAGAGGTTGTAATAATTAAAAGTACCTATCAGGTTGAATACCACGACTTGTCGTAGCCAGAAAGAACTGTGAAAATCTTAGCAATTTAAACAATTATTTCTATAACCATAAAAGAAACTGTGAATCGCTTAAATTTGGTACCAAATAGTCAGAGTTCTATACATACATAACTTAGGTTATTAAAATCATTGCAAATGACCTTCTCTGTGAAGGGTGAAGGTCGTCAGTGTTTTAAAAGGATTTTTAAAAAAGGATAAATAAACTATACGGAACTTGTAGCACAGTTTTGCGTTGAAATTAGTTAACCCTATAACCCTTACTAAAATCAAACATCTTGGTATAAATACGAGGAAGCTAGAGCCAAAATGGTCCGAGTTTATAAAGCATACATCAATTTGCTAAGTTTGCGGAAAGGAGACTATAAATATCAATATAAATGCGATTAAATGCGTGGTCTTTCAAAATATATAACTATACATCGGTATCAAGAATACAGCAATGTAGAAAGATGAGAATTAAAAATTGCGTAAAACCTTGGCAGCGTTACTCAGTCCGATTCGTCCGCCATGCTGTACAGTCTTCGTATTTCATTAGGACTGGTCTTGCCTCCCTCGAAAGTTGCTTCGTTTTTCTTCGTTTTCATTCTTCTGTTTGGGAACCAGATCTTGATATGCTTTTCAGAAAGACTTAAAGACTTGGCTAACTCAATTCTGCGCGCTCGGTTAATGTATCGACTAAACAAGAATTCTTTCTCTAACTCGACTTGTTGTCTTGTTGTGTAAGCTGTTCTCGATCGCGAACGAACCTTTGCAGAACTCCACGACTCTCTCCCTCGCCCTTTCGGCCTGTTGTCTGCTGCCAAGAAAATAAAAGAAAGAAGATGCTGTAGAGTAAATTTTGGCGATTTGTCTTCACCACTAAGGTTACTAATAACAATGAAAAAGGGAACTAAGATAGTAGCAGTAATTCAGCCCTGTAAAGTTCACTATATGACGTGTTAACTTTTTCAGTCAACAAGCAGTTTGGTCATGAAAGCAAAACATCGAAGGTGACTGAGATTAGCCACGGAAATTTCCCTGACAATGTAAATCCGTTTGGACTTGTTACTGACGGATCGTAAATCAACTAAGGATTAAAATTCCGCGACTGTATTGAAGAAAACTTGGACAGGAGAGTGTTTTGGTTATGATATCGGCTCGCATCTGCTGCCTACTTTAGTCTCTCAAACCAACCAACAACACTTAATTAGAAAATCAGCAAAAATTCGCCTGATACCGTGCTTTTAATTAATTTGATTAAAAGGTTTTTTTTTTTAAATGAACGTTTAATATCTTTTTATTGTTCACTGATCCCTCCATTAAAGACCGCTTCCTGAAAAGGGCGAGAAAAATTCCAGCGCTGTTTTGTCAGCCATTTTGGTTTTCAATCCTGTTTGACTTTGAATAAAACACAAGTTTGACTTTATTGAGCTTGATAAATTAAAACAGGTCTCGTCAAGAAAGAATGACGAACTGTTATTGATATGTTTTTAACACGAGTGCTGACTTAACATGAGTAAGATAGAAACTAACACTCATCTCGTGTGTCTCGTAGAACGAACACCATGGTGTTAAATAGTTGTGGACGTCGCTGTGAAACTACGGAAAGATTTGTGGTCTTCTGGTTGTGGCGTGAAGTACCCTAACAAGGTTTCACCTCCAGGATATTTTCCGTTATTTGTTAAGTATTTAAACTCTTACCTTTACCCTACACACGGGTAGCTTTTCAGCATTATAAATCGATCCAAAGAACATAAATCAATCTAACTTGCAAACAAATCGTTCTTTCATGAGAAGATATGAGTTGTTACGAAAGTTGTCTCCCTCAATTGAGAATCATTTCAGGACGTCTACCTCTGAAAATAGCATTTCACGACTCGTCTTTCTCACTTAATAGTAATTCTTCATTGAAACGGCAAACGCGGATGAAAAATCGTGCTCAAATTGGCGAGAGTGTTAACGTTGTTCCAAAACGCTGCCCTTCAGGGTCACACCCAAAAATGAGCGTCGAATGACCGTTGAAATCGAGAAGGGCTCCGAAAAGGGCTAGATCCAAACATCTCATCATGATCCACTTTTTTTTCTACATTCTTGTGTCAACAAGCGTGTTAAATCGGTAAAGATCTTAAGAATGAATCGATTTTCTTGAGTTCTGAGAGACCCACGAGTAGGTAGAACCCACCAACAAAGACCACACGATAGCAAAGCTTGTGCCGCATGCATATCACTGCTCCAGAATTCACATCCTTGAGATAATGAAATTAGGAACTGAATGTGCGCAAACTTGAACCAGCTCATGCAGCAGGAAAACTTTTAACTTCAGTTTAAGTTCGTCTCGTGGCGATCAGTGTTCTTGGATAGTAAACACAGTAGACGCATGCTGAACTAAACCGGCTCTCACACAGTGATCGGAAATACCGTAGCCCAGTCGGGCCTGAGTGGTCTTGAAGTCCAAAACGGACAGCACGCGTTGAACTTACCCTCCCCTTGCCCCATTTTTTAAACGTGTTAGGTCTCTGAATTAGCCCTTATGCACCCTAAGCTTCCACGCGAAGCGAGCAAACTGACGAAGGCGTCGATTGGTGATTTATATACTTAGCTACCTAGCGAGTTAAAGATCAGCTTTACTATTTATCTTCGAGCTGACAAGATGAGTCGGATTTTTCACGACAGGAGCAAAGGGCAATGCTCTTAATTTGCAAGTTTTCAGGATAAATAAACTTTGTGCGTTGGCGGTCGAATATGAAGGAGGAAAGAACGGCCTTAAGAGTATTTCTCGCTGCCGGAACAAATGGATTTAGCACCGGCGCGAGAAATTTATAGACCTCACAATCAACGTCTTGAGATGTCACTTTCCTCAGTAAGGAGATGTTTAGGTGATAGGAACCCACCTGAGAGAGTTTTGTAGTAGGGTGAGTCCGCCAGTGAGACTGTTCTGGCCCCATTTTGGTAACCTCTCGTGGTGTGCTGAGGCAGTGCCGAATTCAAATCTTGAAGGAAGGACTGCGGTGCGGAGTAGCTGGAAGAGAGCTCGGGAAGAAGCGGCACATTCCAATCAAGGGGAAACTGTTCTGCAGGTCTCTGCGTTTGGCGGTACCAAGGAAGAATATGATGCTGGCTCTCTGCTGAGGAAGAGGTTCTGTTAATGTGAAGCTGGGAGTGAGCCTTAATTCTATTCAGTGTGGGTCGTGCGCTCATCGGATAAGTAAAAGTATTGTTAGACAATCGATCCATCCTTTTTTTGTTATGTATATGTGGTTCATAGCATAACAATGTCCCTCTTGGATTGAGACTATAAGTACGGCAACTTTTTAATTCCTTCGGTGGGTTGATCACGTGTCACACTTCGTTATCCAATTACATGAATCACCTTAGACGCTAGAAATAATGACGTGTTAATAAACCGTCAAGTGACTCGAGAATGCCGCCGACGGCGCAAGTCATCTTAAAGTAAACTTCACTTTCCGATACACCACCATATTTTAAAGTCTATTTGGACCCCATTCGCAGAATGCTACGCCGTTTTAACAAATTGTATTCACTTCACCAGTGTCTTCCACTTCGCATTTTATTTTTCAGGTTTTTTTTAGGAAAGAAACAAGGCTAAAAATTCGGGAAAAAATGTTATGATCGTCCAGAACTGGTTTCATTTAACAGCATGAAAGTAATGATTGCTGAAGGGGGCGTGTTCATTTAACAGAGCAAGTGGTAAAACAAAATGGTGTTTGAATTCAACCACTTGAGTTTACCTTTATGATACATAACACCTAACAGATCGTTATTCTGCAACTTGTTTTTAGTTTAATAGCCTTGAATAATTTGATTTCTCTCTTGCACTCTGCTAGACCTGCTATTATGCCGCAAAAGACCCATGATACCCAACGTAGGTCATTATTTATCCGTTTTGACAGCTAATGAACGAATCAATAACAGATGAAGAAATTGGGGCAATCACTTTTGCACGTGAGGTTTTTGAAGATTTTTTCGTTGCTGTGTAAGGCTAGAAAGCTCAATAACTGAGTTACCTACAAGTCTGCCGTCGTATTTTCTGAATAGTTAGTAGTTACAGCAAACACCACCTCTTTTTTAGAAGAAAAAACAAAAAGAGCGATGAAAAACAACTCCTCGACTGAGATTCCTCGGCTTCCTGTACTGTCAGAAATGCCAACAATTCATGAACTGAATTTTCTTTGATTTTAAGAAAATTTGCTTTTAAGGCATAATCTTGATCTAAGAGTAAATACAATCGACGTTTTTTTTGTGGGGTTAAATAGTCGTTTGTGTTGAACCCAGAATCAATAGCTTTTGCTTAACACTATATCCGGATTAGAGCCACGTTGTATGAGCCAGGTTGACCGGGTTAATGATGGAGAAAGCCTACCTTCTCAATGAACACACAAAATACAACGACAATTTATATGGAAAATATTTGCGAGACGAGTTCTCGGAAACCGAAGGCCAGCGCGGTCAACTCAGGGCTCATTTAAGGAGACCCCTTAGTCAGACACCGTAAACTTTAGTCGCAAACTGTAAAAAAGCCCTTAATTGTGGATTGGAGGGTAACTTTACAATAGAGTAACATCCAATCTGAAGAAAGCCCAGACATAAGTGAAGCAATTTATAACTAAATAGAGAAAAGAGTGCGGACTTGAAAAGTGTAGATTGTGGGAATGGCGTTCAAGGGACTTTTTCTGTTGGCTTTCGATTCAGGCACTAAAACCTTTCGCTTGTGCGCGTGGCTTGAGTGCCATTATTTCCCAAGTAAGGCGGAATGATTTAGGAAAGTATGAGTTTCATGGGATACAGCAATTACAGAACCCTTCAGTACAGTGTGCTACAAAGTAAGATACAATGAAGTTTTCTTTTCGTCTTTGTACGTTTCCTGGCGTCTTGATAATAAGCGCAAAAACTGGCCAACGTAATTAAGTGATTTATATAAAGTTAAACTGCACGCGAATCCTTGTATCCTATTGCGTTTAACACTAATGACAGTTTCTGCTTGATAAAGAGGTGTGAGGAACAGCGAGCAAAGCGAAGCCTTTAGAAATTACATGAATCAAGTTATTCTTCTCAAAACTGGAATATCATTTTTTACGATCCTGTTGCGCCCGGTTTTGACGGGTGGAAAAGCGCTGCCCCAGACCTTACATTTGACTTCAATTGTTATCTTACTTAAAAGTCCTGGATTTCACTTTCAGCACTGTATTAAACCAATGATTTATAATCAAGCTTGCATCTCGCGATAACTGCATTCAATCAATGTGCTAATTACCTTCCGTGATGATATACGCTCATTTGAGCGGCTACGCACCTGGGAGGTTGTGGTGGGGGGCAGTTGTGGAAGGATGGTTCGGGCGACTTCCTTAATAATTTAAAAGCTGTGAACCAATTTGGAGTTTATTTGATGAATATCATGTGACGACTGTACGCCTTCAAGTTCAGTGAAATTTCTAAACACCTAGAGGCTTCATAGTGCTGTCTCTCCAACGCTCCTCGTTTTCTTCAACCTCATAGTCCTCATTCCCAGGATTCCCTTGTACTCTGCGTAGCGAAAGTGGTACGAGTAGGAGAGATTCCTGGGAGCGAGACAGTCTTTTTCCTCTGAGCCTGATCAAAAGGGCGTTGGCTTAGGCTGGTTCGAATGGTACCCGGAAATTCTTGGATAGAGTTTCAGAAACACTTTATACTAATACAGTGACAGATTGTTTGTCAAAAGCGCTTGAATCGTCACCAAAAGGTAACAAAATTTACATTTCTATTTCTCACTGACAGCCATGGACTCAGAAGGGACATCTTCCTTCTTTGAAAGAACAGTCGCTTCACAGGCAAGTTGTTACGGCTCAACAAGAAAGGCCCCTGGTTCTCATAACCCTGCAGCCATTTCAGCTTTCTAAGGTAAAATGCACAAGATTTAAAAGGTTAAAAACTCAAAGATGCTGAGTTCTTCGTTGGTTATTCGGAGATTGAGCGGAAGACTGGACCGAGCCGTTGTTGTATTAAATTAAATTGCATTGTGGGACTGTTTGCGAGCAATCCCAAAATGCTATTCATCACAATCCGGCCTCAGTCTCTCGCCAGACCTCGAAATGGCCCAAAGGGAAACTGATTATACCTGGTTTTATACATTATTTATCCGGAAACAGAATAACAAAATAAGGGCTTTCTTGGGTCTCTTTAGCCGGTATTTACCGACTGGGAGCCTCCATCTCCCACTTATGAGGGCTGCAGCGTATTTATACTTTGGGTTAATTTTAGGCCAAGCTTTGCCGCCAAAAAAAAAAAAAGATTACCAGCCGCTGTTCGAGAAACGGGCTCTCGCTCCAGGCTCCTCTCGAGCCTTGAACGCAGTTGGGACCAACACATTTTTTACGAAGCATGCCCGCTTAATGAAAATCACAGTCACTGATAGCGGTTGATGAAGAACTGTAGGCGCAAACTCTTGGTGTCAACTGATTTAGCACGGTTTTCCTCTCATTTTGATGTCCCCTTAAAAGAAAGACAGCTGAAATGCGTTTTCTTTTCTTTTTTTTCCAACGGGTCTTTTCATCAATATCGCAAGTCCGAAGTTCGTTGGCACATGGGTCATTTTAGGGCGCAGAAATACAATCACTGTTAAAGCTCAGTAGCTACAAACAGACTTGAACATGTACAAACCAGCACTGGAGTCAAACCCCGCATTACGGACACCTCAGTCATTATTACGGACAGTTTGCTTTGTTCCTGGGGAAAAGAAAGCCCTTATATTTTCTCTAAATTCAACCCGCTTAATACGAACACTTTCTATGGCCTCCTCAGTGTCCTTATAAACCGGTTTGACTGTATAACTGTTGGGTAGCACATCATCCCCGATCGGCCTGATCATCAAGTATAGATCATTCAACACAGACCACAAAATTTGGTCACAACTGAACCCATTTAAGTTTTTAAGTAATGCTTATCTGTAAACAGTTTCTTGGACTTCTTTGCTTGGCTTATAAGGATAGTAAACATATTCTGTGGTCTGTTATCCTTTTTGCGATCGAGGACCTCTTAAGACTTCAGAGACTTTGAATGTGAAAACAGGATGAAAAGCAGGTTTTGTGCGCATATTTTGCTAAGCGTAAACACAAAAAGTTGGTGAATTGACTTTGCCTTTAATAAGAGGTGTCGCGATCTGTTTGTGTGGTAATATGAAATCAAAAGGATTTTTGCGGTAAATAACTCGTGGAGTATTTTTAAAACCAAATGAGAGACTGGCGTGGTTGGGTGTTCTGAAATTTGTCTGGCATAGCCGGTAGGCAGGTTATGATTTTCCGTCAGACAAAAGCTTACCAAGTATGCACATGAATAGATTTTCTAAGCATCACGTTAGGCCAAGGCAACATAGTAGGAAATGTGTTTTGCTCAAGGATGCTGAACAGGTTGTTGGAAATAACAGATGTCACAACAGGTAGACACCAGTCCATAAACAAATCGTTCACGCCAAGATGCAGTGTTTTTTAATTTAACGCGGGCAATTTACTCATCTGGAAAGCCGGCACGTTTTGTTAAGTTGTTTGCGTCGATCAGCTCGTGCAGACACCAGCAAATCAAAGCACTGAAAGCAGATGGCCTCTGTAAAGACTGACTGAAAAGCTCGGCAGCGAGTTGGCCAGAGCGCGTGCGCTATTGTGTACACTTGTGATTTAAGGTCATTCTAATTGCTTAACCGCGTGTAGAGCGAGAGTTTACAACTCAATGAGGCCTGTAATGAAAGGAAATCGTTTGTCACCTCGGCATAATTCTTGTTTGTGGTCACTCAATTTATCATTGCTTGTGTTTTGGTGTCATTATTTCTCTGTTAATTGCGGGAAAAGATTTGCAAAAAGCGTTAAAATGGTGCGGATTTTAACAACCGCCGTCACCGTCGTGACAAAATCGATGCCCCTTTCGCCAATATTTGTTTTACAGCTCCTGGTTAAACAACCAGCTCCAAATCTCCACACATTTCACAAGGTCAATATTTGGTATTTAAATTTGAACATCTTTTTGAACAGTACAAACTTTGTTAACTGGAAATATCGAAGAATAAGAAGAATTGACAAACTTCTTCTGAGCGTGGATACACGCAGAGTTTAAAACCCAGGTGACTTTAAATGGCTTTGAGAATCGATTACGTTACATTCATGCCAGAGGACAATTTACTTCTTACAAAACTGTTATCCATTGAAAGAATTGTAGTATCAGTTCGTTTTAATCCACTTTTTAATTTTCCT